CTAGTCTAACCTAAGCTTGGTTTTCCCAAAATCGGTCATTTTTGGCACTTCGCTAACCTAAGCGAGTGCCAACTTCAATTCTAGATTATTCTAGATTATCAAAGCACACAACTCTTAAAGCAACAATAGATAAGAGTGACCATTACTCGGTGCCCAGTACACTAATTTGTGTGCCCATTTTTAGAAAAATTAACATTTTTTTTCACTTAATTTTTATTTTTGAAAGGTTTTTGTTTGTTTCGCGAATTATGAGTACTAGAATGTTCAGAAACATCCATAGAAAAAGTTTATGTGTCATACAACTGGGCAACTAGCCTATTGATTTAAGACTTAACCCTCCAAGTGTCCATAGTTTAGGCCTTAATGTCCACCTATTTTTGGCGCATTTGCAAGGTTTTATTAAAACGGATCTGAGAAGCTTAAAACAATGTTAATTCTAATGTTCTATATACCATTTTGTTTGGAAAATCATGGGCTTCAATATTATATATAAAACATAAGGAACATTTTTTCAAAAAAAAAAATTTTTAGGTAAAAAAAATATAATTTCGAAAATTTTCAAAAAAAAAATAAGTTCGCGCTCAATGAAATTGTATAAATTATAGGCCTATAAATATTTGAAAATAGCCACTTTGTTTTAAATTTTATGAGGATTACAAATATATAATAATATAAGGAAGTATATTTGCAAATAAATAAGTTATGGGCAAAAAACTGATTTCAGTACATAGCGTTTAGCTAAGAATGCATAGCCTAACCATAGCTAGGAATCTGGCTGATAATTTACATCAATATCACTACCTACTTCTTCAGGATCATCAACCAGCACTTCAAAACCACTTAAATCTTCTTATAATGCACCACGTATATCACTACTTTTGATTTTTAACACTAAAACAATGATAAACGTAATAAAACACATCAGTCATCGGTCCGGGGGAACCTAGCTGTTTACAAATACACGCACGTCAGCTGTCTGCTACAATATTTTCGGAACTAAAATGAATAGCGCTTAGAGACAGACCTCTGGAGAAAGCTTAGAATATTACGGAAAGAACGATACCTAACTCGATCCAGTTCAATCCGATTCAGTCAGTCATAGAGCCTTCGCCGTAAACGATGTCTGCGTGTCGAAAAATCGACAAGTAACACTACACAAAGTATGCTGCTTGTCGAATTTTCGTCAAGTAACACTGGGAGGGTTAAAAAGTGGGGTATTAGAACAAACAGTGCTCATTACTGACAGGGCTATTATCCAAAAATAAGTCATTTTTGGCACTGCTATTTTTTATAACCTAGTTTTCTGGGTAAAAAACGGCAATAGCCAAAAAAGTGTCTGAAGGAAAAGGTGTTTGAAATGGCCTGACTTGGGGCCTAAATAACTTAAAATTAAAAAACATTAATTTGTGATTAAAAAACACACATAAAAGCAACAACAAAAATTTGCAAGCCCCAAAAGTCTAAGATTTTTAGGGCTTTTTGCAATGTTCGAATGCGATTTTCAGGGTAAAACCGTTGCTTCCCCCAAAAGTGCTAAAAGAAAAAAGTGCTTAACTCTCCAGCTGCTGCGATTGCCACACCCCGGCCAGCTGCTAGTCGACTTGACCGAGTCGATACGCAAGGTGTCGGTTAATCTACTTCACTCCGTTCCAGTGTACAAGAAACTGGATTGCGTTTGGTATCTCCATAAACGTCAGATTTCAGGCTTTATCCCGATGCCTATACCACTCCTGTCCACTAGGCTGCTTTGTAAAATTATTAGCAAAATTGACATCGACGCGCCAGCTGTCTAGTAATAGTGCTTCCTGCGTAGTTACCGAGTCTGTTTAAGTCATCCAAAGCGGGTTCTAATGTAATAATTTCGTGTTTTTACGTAAATAATGGATAGTGGTGACATCCGTATTTTAGGTGTTTTAGTGAGGATCTTGGTGATCCTGACAAAAAATTTTTGGTGTTGGTAATGTAAACAACAATGACGGTAGTGATATAGATTTTGATATTCCCGAGTACGAATCAGACTCTAATGATGATGCTTCATTGATGGACTTTTCCTCCGGTAGTAATGGTAATTATAGTCCCCACACAAGTGAATTGGAGACCTCAAACAGGGAAGAAACTTGAAATGATGTTCATGAGCCACTAGGAAACTTAGGCCTAGATGAACCAGGTACGCCCTCTAGGCCTGAGTCTATGCCTACTCTTGATCCTTGGGTGAGGGTTTATCCTCCAGAACCTCACAAAGAAGTTAAAGATACTTTTATGGTCAGGAATTCTGGAATAAAAGGAATTCCTCCAAAATAGCTCACCAATCAGCTGGCCTATGTAAATTTATTTCTAACAGCTGCTTTTTGGCATAGAATAGTTATTGAGACAAATGCTCACGCCACCAGAGTTCTGAATGAAAAAAATCACACTCCAAACTCACGACTAAAGAAATGGAAGAAAGTCGCTGTGAATGAACTCAAAAAGTGGTTGGGGATATTAAATTAGGCCTATAGAATATGAGGCTCACTGTAAGAAAAAGCCTTCACAGTTATTGGGATTCTAGGCCTTCTCAACAGATCTCGTTCTATCCCAAGACCATGCCTTGCGATCGATTTGCTCATCATTACAACGTTCTTGCATAAGTTATGATGTCAGCAAGAAATCTACTTAAAGATGTCCCTGATTATTACCTTTGGGTTAAGATCAGATGGATGCTGGATCATGTAAACAGGTGTTTAAAAAATACTTTGTTGCTGGCCAAGAAGTGTGCATCGATGAGAGCCTAATAGCCTAAACTTATCAGGTAGGCCTATGGAATCATGGCATGGGGCTCTAAAATGTCTAAGTAAAATCATGAAATACACACCCAGAAAATACTTAGGCATAAGTTAACTTAGTAAGGCTAATTGAACAAGCTGAACCACAAGCCCTCTGCAAACCTTTTTTCGTTGAAAAACAAATCCTAACCATAATTTCTCTTAACCTTTGTGAAATAAACTTCAATCAAAATTAATCGCTCAAAACTTATAATTAAATGTCATTGGTAACTAGGCCTACAGTATCAGGGGAAAAACAACCCTTGATTTGAGGTAACTTAGGTACCATAGGGGCTAATAAAACCAATAAAATTCCAAACAACATGGGGGCAAAATGTGCAATCTTCTGCCAAACACAAAGAAATAAATTAAATCAAAGCATTTAAAAACAACTCAAACGATAGATGATTGCTTATAAAGTAGGCCTAAACTGAGTTTATTGAAGAACCTAAAAACAAACACTTAGAGTAGGCCTAGTTGAGCACAACTACTCGCAACACTAACCACCCACAAACAACACACAACAAGGAAGGGTGGAGAAGACACCGAACCCGAACCGACGGTAAATGGGTAAGAACTAGAAGAACCACAAGAACTAAGTCAGAAGTGTCTAGTCTACGAAAACGAAGCTAGGGCCCTGCCTAGCTAGGCCTAGAACGTCGAGGTTTGCGATGAAGACCATCAGATTTGTTTATGAAAACGCAAATAGAAAGATGATTGTAAATTGAAAACTATCATAAATTCACTGTTATGGAGCTTCTTTCACCACACCACCCTCCCATTAAAGAAACAAATAAAATAACAAACAAACAAATAGCTAACCGACGCCACGCCATTGCCGTGGCCCGTGATCATGACCACCACCACCGTCCACCACAGACAGAGGAAGAAGAAAAGGAAGCAAGGAAGGTGACACTCGACGTTCTGTACCCACGAGCACCTCCGCCTCCACAGAGCTCTTGGAACACTTTCCGAGGTAACTGTTACTTCCTATGTGTATTAGCTTCTCACAGCTATCCGCTGTAACTGTTATTATTCCATGAATTTAAGTTGTGGTTACAGTTGACAGCGACAGCAGCAGCTGTACCAATTTGAAGTACGTCTACGCCTACGTGATTAAATAATAAATTCAACTTGGACAATGTAACTACGAAAATGGTTATTTTTATTGGGGAAAATAAAAATAGTAAATAGATCTATGAATATGTAAAATGTTTTATGCTAGAAATTATGTTTACATCACAGTGTTTTAGGCGAATTTCCCAATAGGGGAGTAAGTTAGCTATGTAGGTGGCACGGTAAGACCTAGACCCGGGACCGATTTCCTTTTTCATTTTGATGTCCCCAGAGGCCAAAAACACCAATTTTGATGACATTTCGGTTTGAAGTTGTAAAGGTGGGATAAACTTAAATGAGTTTACTAACCAGCATGATCGGATCATGGGAACGGGCTTTTATGGGATAAAAGTTTTTCTGATTTTTGACCCACAAAATAAAAATTCCCAATTTCTCTCTAGACCCTTTTAAAAAGCTTAGAAAAATAAATAATTTACTTAGTAGCCTACATATATCAAAGTTTTTTTGTACGGTTAATGGTAACGGATAGCATTCAAAAAATTGTAAGCTTCATATTCCCATGTGATTCTTATGGAGAATATTTTAAACTGTTGTTTGCTTGTTTATGGACATATTTTAATCAAACTTGGCAATTTCTTTTTTATTTTATACTAAGCTAAGTGTAGTGGCACCACACTATTAATATTTTACTAAAAAACACACTTTATTAGTTTCCTTGTAGCATCAAACCTAAGTACTCAAACCTATTGTTATAGATTTGATTGAAAATCAATCTAGACAAATGGAAATTCGCTTAGTCGGCAGGGTTTTGCTTGGTTGGCGGGGGGAGGTTTTCTTGAAGAGTCGGCCTATTTTAATAATTAATTGTTACTCCCATTAATTAAGGTAGTTAAATTATTAATTTATCGTCACTCTTTACAATCCACAATTGAATTAACTGTGACTAGTAATAAATATTTTAATTAAATATATAGGCCCTATACATTTTTTTTTTTTTTTTTTTTTTTTTTTGGTAGGCAGGTGTGAATGCATTTACGCACACCCTTGCTCCTGCAAGGGTAGTGTGGGACTAACAGAAACAGACTACCCACTAAACACACCTCCCCCCTCCCTCGAAGATGGCTGGGGAGGGCGGTCACAGCGTATCAGGATTTGGTCATGATTTTCCGCAGCCTTTTTCTGTGAACAAGAGAAATTTTACAAACAAATTCTTTCTTAAGCATTAAGAACAGTCAGTAATTGTTTACCTAGACTTTATCCTTTGCAATTTTTTCCTTTGAAACATATAAAATTATTTTTTTATAAAGATAGAAGACCAGAAAATATTTGTGAAACAAGAGGTAATAAAATGGGGTTTTCTTTTCTTTTAGGCATTGTACAAATGCAGTGGGCATCGTCAATATATACAACTTAGCCTAAGGAAAACCATGCAAACAAAGCACTCAAAATAGGTCTGCCTCACTAATTGGAGATATAAACAATCAGGTCGCTAGGGCCTATTGTATTTCTTGAAGGAAATAATAATAAAGAAATTTGTCTATTGTCTATGTCACTTTTAAGCGTATTTCTAAGTAAAAGATAAAAGAGACATGTAGGGATAAAAGAGTGTCAGAAAAAGTAATATTGGGGTGAGGGGAGGGTATAAAAACGGAAAGTAAATAAAAGATACATCTAATAACACTTATAACATAGGCTATATTTACACTTATACTGTTAACTCACAAGACGGTAGATATACTGTACATAAAAGATGGTACGGTAAGTGCCGATCCATCTTTTATGTATATTTACCATCTTGTGAGTTAACAGTATAAGGGTAAATATATGTTTTAAGTGTTATTAAACGTAACTTTTATTTACTTTCCATAAATTTAATAACACGTACAAAGCTGATCAAGAAGTTATTTAGTATAACATCCAAAAAAATTACAAAATACAAGATCGGGTAAAGGGTGGGAGTAGCCAGGTAACAAGGTAGGTAAATAAATTAACGTTAGGTTAGATTATTGTTTATGTAAAAAATTAACTAGCCTACAACATAACACTACCTTATGTGGTCGTTATCACCTCTACGACAGAAGAGCACCTCTTTAATCTCAAATGCTTTTCCGAAGAAATTATTTAATCGTAATATATTCTTAGAAATTTGTTTTGAGTGACATATCTTCCTAGTAAAAAATTGCAGGTCTAGGCAAACAATTAACGAACAGTCATAAGGCATTCCCGCCAGGATTCTCCATATCCTTCTGTAAACAAGATAGAGGAATTTCACATATATACATAAATTTCTTAAGCATTAAGAACAATCAACTAAAATAAAGAATACATGCATAAACTAGGCTCTACCACCTAATTTGAAAACTCAGCTATGCGTAACATAGGCATACATTCTTATCTATCGTTTCAAACTTTGAAGCCGTGCACCGCACTTTGCCACCAGGCAGCTCGTGTACATCATCAAAGGTTTCCCTCGGATGATGGTCTCCCAAGTGCAGTCACAGCTCACGGCATACAATGCTTTCTCCCTGAATGAAAAATCTAGCTATAGTGCATGCACCCTTAAACTGATTATCAAACTTATATTAGTTTTTTATTTTATTTTTATCAATTGAATTAGTTAAACTTAGGCCCTATTAAAATTGTGAATACAATACCCTGTAGCCTACCTGGCCACGAGGATAAATAAGGCAGAAACTTAAAATATGTGCTGTTTAAGACTCAGATATGAAAATTGAATATTTCATTGAATAATTTCCTAATCTATTTAATAATAAATTTACTAATCAAAATGAATTGATAATTTTTTAGACATTTAGAGCCTAACTTAGGCCTACTCTTATAAATAGATAAGTTATTAATTTAACTATTTCAAAGGCAATAACTTAGACCTAAACTCAACTGAAAGGCCCAACTTACTTAAAATAAACCTAGACCTACCACTACAAAAACTGCAATCTAACAAATTCACACACAAACACAAACACAACTCAACCTAACCCTCTTTCTTGAGGAATCCGAAAAATATAGGTTAAGTGAACACTTAAAACTTAATAAATAATTCATGAACGTAAAACATTTCATTGTCAATACCTAATAACAAATCAGCTTCAGCACACTCACGGCACTTTAATTTTCATAATCATAAAACACCTTTTCAAGCAGCTCAAGTCAAAAGTAAATAAACAGTAAAGAATAAACACCTTTTCCTTTACAAAACCAAAACCACAATACAATGCACAGTTTGACAGTTTGCTTGCAACTGCTGCAACTGTTGAATGAAACAACTATCTAATCAGGACCAATACAGAGTTACAGTGAAGCTATTACACAAATAGCTGTTATCCCAGGAACTGCTCCAAGGACTACTGTGCATGTGGAAGTGGAGGTGCTCGTGGGTACAGAACGTCGAGTGGAAGGTGACCAAGGTTCAGGTTAGGTTCAGCGGTTCAGCAGGTATAGGCGCTATTTTTTTTAGGCAGGCTGGCAGGCACACTCCATCTGAAGGGTGTCACACATTATAATTTGTGAAATTTATAAAATTGTTGTAAAAATTGGTATATTAAAACATTCACGAATTTGTGAAATTTATGTTTCCATACCTCATAACATTTTAAAGAAATTATTGTGGCATGGCTCATTATTTTTCGTGAAAGTGTGGCATAGCTTATGGTTTATGGTGAGATGTTATATGGTTATTAGCTATGCCACATTTTCAAGATTATAAGCTACGGAACAAATGCCAGATTATAAGCTATGCCATTATAAGGTACGAGACCCCACGTCATATAACATTACTAGCTGAGAAAATACTATAGTGTAGCACATCTACCATAGTTATAATACTCTACCACTGCACCTGAACCACAGAAAAAAATAAATTTCTCATTGTACCACGGCTTTTTGTTGCTATTTGGTTCAAATTAGGTGTTGTCATAAATGAAAGAAATAATAGTACTGCACCCTGTTGCTAAAAAGTTTACTGTTTTAGAGGCTATTGTCCCTACAAACCACCATTTAAATGTAAATGTATCTACTGTATATAATATATTGTATACATTTTGTGTTGTAAACTATATTATAATGCTAGAAAATCAGTGCTTATTTATAAATGACCAATGAAGGTTGATAAAAAATTTATGTATTTTGGTTTTTTAGGGGCTTTTGCCCCTACAAGTCCCTATAGTATTCCATAAAGGTGTGAAAACACAAAAAGTTTCTCCCTGGTGGCGTGTGAATGAATTTAATTAAACTTAATTAACCCTACCTTAGAGATAATTGCCATAGAGATAAAAATGTATATTCTTATCAATGCCAACATGCCTGGTAGCAATGACAATCTGCTTCCTTTACCATATCTCTTAATTTGCAGTGCTATCACTCTTTGTACAGAAAAAAATTATATTCTCTTTACTTGGTTGGTCAACTGACTCTCGAAAGATATGAATTTATGCCACACCTGTATGGAATAAAATTAAATATTCCAAAAAGGTGTAAAAACACGAAAGGTTTTTATGGTAGATCTTTACAGGAAAACCACTACGAAATGAGTGTCTTACCAATAACAAATGTTTTTACATCCCCAATAGGACTTTGTAAACTAGAAAAAAATCTTTATGTCAACTGTAAAAGTGGTGCATTTTATAATACACGGACGACGGCCGCTTTTGCCAACGAAGGTGGCAGGTTGCCGTGTACGCCCACGGCCGCCTTTAACTCCCGGCCGCGGCCTATAAGTGGCAAAGTTGCAAGTGGTGTTGTAAAACTGTTGTGTTTGGAAGCAGCCACCAATACTAGAAAAATACGAAGCAACTAATGGTATTTGTGTATTTACGAAAGATTGGTTACTGGACTTTGCCAATATTGAATCCGCTTAAAAATATACAGATATAGATTTTGAATTCATATGGTTTCGGTTTTCAATTCTGTATGTTTTATTCTCAATATTTTAATAAATTTATGTTCATAAATTTAAATTTGAATCAATAAAGTGCAAATTAACGAGCTGATGTCACCTGTCTGCCATGTTATCCTATGGGACGTCTGTCACTAAACAACACCACTTGCGACGTTGCCAATTCTACCAGGCCGCGGCCTATAGTTAAAGATGGCCGTGGTACGCCTCATGTTCGCACCATGACAACGTGCCATCACGGCAACCCAACGCCACACATTTATCCGAGGTAGCGAGTTGTCGTGCACGCTCACGTCATCGTGTTAACCCTACAACGAGCCACCACGTCAACCCATCACCTCAAACTCTTTTTGGTGGTGGGTTGACGTGGTGGCTGGTTGACGTAGCGATGCCTTGACACGGTACCGATTGCTGTATTTTTATTTCAGAACTAGCTGGCCCGACAGACGTCGTCCTGTCCTAATGTGTCCTATCCTAATGTCCTAGCGTGATAAATGTCCTAATTTATCACGCTATACATAATTTATATTTATTGTTATATTTCCTAGGTTAGTCTCACTTGTTTCTGTTAAGTACATGTTTCTTAGACTTAAACTTTTTACTATTTATTCAATTACCGTATGTCTTGTATTATTTATGTCTTGTTACTCCTAGGTTTGAGTAGTTTTTTTTACTGTCTTAGATTTTGCATCTATCCCTATTGTATTGTTCATCAGTTTTTTGGTTTTTTTTTTGTTACTTCGTTTTAGTATTTAGTCATGATGAGTATCTCACTATTATTGTAATTCTTATTGTAAATTGGTGAAATCCGTTAGAAATAAATAAATAAAATGTGGTTTTATGTGAAATGCTCGTTCATTTTCAAGATGAGCTCGTTCGCATGGATCATCACGTACTGGTTGAATTTCGTTCGCTACGCTCACTCCCCTTTAGGTTGGAGCTCGTTCGATGTGCTCACAGAACGAGCTTCAGGTTAGCTCGTTCACTACGCTAACTCACCTCCAGGTTGAAGTTCGTTCTCTACACTCACTCACCTTTTGGTTGCAAATTAGCTGTTGTCATAAATTTAAAAAAAATAATAGTGCTGCATACTGTTGGTAAACCTATTAACTTTTTAATGCTATTGAACATCACAGAATCAAATTGTTTAGTTTAACCAGCTGTTAAGATTCTTTAATTCCATTTAAATATGAGTACTCATAAGGTTAACATGGGAAACTCCAGAGTCACTGGGGCGGAGCCTTTTTGACGGATCTGCACCAAACTTCACACAAACCATCCTTGAATAATGCTTAATAATGCCTGAAAGTTTCATTACAATCTGTCAAGTGGTTTTGGAGTCCATTGTAACTACAGCATATTCTTCCACAGATCTCAGTAATCCTATCCATGACTTCCCGTCCGTCTATACATTTCCTGTCCCACGGTGGTGTAACGTTCAGCTGCCGATGCATCAATCGTGGAGAGAGACAGAAGACAATCTGCAAGCTATGTACTGTTAGACATCTGCACATCAAGTCCACGTGGACTGTCTTAACCAATCAGGGAAGATTAACCAACGATCACACCCTCTGATTGGCTGTCTCTATAGGCGGACAGGGGGACGTCTATTCCACCAAAAACCCAGGAAAGGCAGTCTCCAGGAAGTCTTCGGTCGGGTCACCGCGTTCGGGAGTCGAAGTTTTCGGTCGCGAGTGATTCGCGAGGTGAAGTGATATTTTAACCATGGCCTGTTGCCTTTAAAGGCAGATTAAAAATTATTTTGTGAAGTGTCCAGTGCATCAACCCAAAAGTATGTCAATTTTATAATTATTTAATCTAAAAATGTAAGTCCTGCTCGCTTACTCAGGGATAATTAATTTAAGGCTTTAGAAGTTAGATTTTCAAACTTTGTATTAATTCTATTCAATTTACTTCCTTATTTTTGAAGGTTATTTAATATTTTATTTTTTTGTTTTACATTTTTAATTCATATTAACTCCAATTTACAATTTATTAAAAAGAGGACAAGCTAAAGTCAATCAAACAAAATACAATGATAATATATAAATCGAATACAGTTAAACAAGGGGAAATGAACCAGCACAGTGAATAGACAAATTAATAAGGTAAAATTATATCCTAACAAATAAATTGGTAATTGGAGTTAATATGAATTAAAATGTAAAACAAAAAAATAAAATATTAAATAACCTTCAAAAATAAGGAAGTAAATTGAATAGAATTAAAACAAAGTTTGAAAATCTAACTTAAGCATATTCTTAAGTAACGTAAATGTACTGTACAGTACAGTAACGTAACTGTAACTATAGCATATTCTTCCACAGATCTCAGTAATCCTATCCATGACTTCCCGTCCGTCTATACATTTCCTGTCCCACGGTGGTGTAACGTTCAGCTGCCGATGCATCAATCGTGGAGAGAGACAGAAGACAATCTGCAAGCTATGTACTTTTTGACATCTGCACATCAAGTCCACGTGGACTGTCTTAACCAATCAGAGAAGATTAACCAACGATCACACCCTCTGATTGGCTGTCTCTATAGGCGGACAGGGGGACGTCTATTCCACCAAAAACCCAGGAAAGGCAGTCTCCAGGAAGTCTTCGGTCGGGTCACCGCGTTCGGGAGTCGAAGTTTTCGGTCGCGAGTGATTCGCGAGGTGAAGTGATATTTTAACCATGGCCTGTTGCCTTTAAAGGCAGATTAAAAATTATTTTGTGAAGTGTCCAGTGCATCAACCCAAAAGTATGTCAATTTTATAATTATTTAATCTAAAAATGTAAGTCCTGCTCGCTTACTCAGGGATAATTAATTTAAGGCTTTAGAAGTTAGAATTAAAACAAAGTTTGAAAATCTTGAATAAATAGTAAAAAGTTTAAGTCTAAGAAACATGTACTTAACAGAAACAAGTGAGACTAACCTAGGAAATATAACAATAAATATAAATTATGTATAGCGTGATAAATTAGGACATTTATCACGCTAGGACATTAGGATAGGACACATTAGGACAGGACGACGTCTGTCGGGCCAGCTAGTTCTGAAATAAAAATACAGCAATCGGTACCGTGTCAAGGCATCGCTACGTCAA